GGGGGGCAACCCCCCTGGGGGGGGGGGGGATCCGAGGGGGACGAGCCGCGGCTCTTCTGCCTGCAGCACGACCCGGCTGGCGCAGTGGAGGGAAGGGGAGGCAGAGCACGCCCGCCACGGAAATGCCCGGCTGGTCCCCTGCCTTCTGTCACACCCTTCCCGCCGGGCCCGGCCGCTCGCCCGAAGTCCTCCCGGGATAACTTCGACATAGCCCCCTTCGCTTCCTCTCCAGAGGCGTCCACACAGACACCTTTCAGCTGTGCTTGACTCTGGGTTCTCTCAAATCGGACCAAGGGCTTGAAGGTCCATCTAGCTCAGCATCCGGCTCCCAAAGGTGGCCAGTCGGGACAACCTCCAAGCGGGGTGTGAAGGCAGCAGCCCCCTCACCCATTTGTCCTCCTTAGTGTGTCCAACACTCTTGGTTGTCTACCAGGCATTCTACACAGCAGGGAGATGTGAGATCTTGACAATGACCTGAAGAAGCATCGTTTCTGCTTCTACCTCTCCCCACCCCCCAAAAAAATCTGCCCTGGTGGAGGGGCTATGGCTCAGTGACAAACCATGTGCTTGAAATGCGGTCCAGTCCCTAACATCTCCAGTTAAAACAGGTCAGGCAGTAGGTGATGTGAAAGACCCTGGAGAGCTGCTGTCAGGCTAAACAGGGAGAGCCAGCGTGGTGTAATGGTTAAGAGTGGCAGACTCTAATCTGGAGAACTGGGTTTGATTCCGCATTCCTCCTCATGAAGCCTGCTGGGTGACCTTGGGTCAGTCACAACTCTCTCAAAGCTCTTCTCTCAGAGCTCTCTCAGCCCCGCTTACCTCACAGGGTGTCTGTTGTGGGGAGAGGAAGGGAAAGGAGATTGTAAGCCTTTGGGTAGTGAAGACCGGGGTATAAAACCAACTTCTCCTCTGACAGTACTGACCCTGATGGACCAAGGCTCTGACTGGGTTCAAGGCAGCTTCCTGTGTTCCTGGAGAACTCAAAAGGTTGCCGAGTGTTATGTTTTGTTCTGGTGTGCATGATGCAGCTTTTGTTTTCAGAGCTCTACTGCCTCTCTGCAGGGAGGTTCCATTTTAACTGTCATGGCTGGCCATTATTTCTGTAGCTGTTTTTAATATACAACAAAAGCCCCACAATTCGTATCTTCTATATTCTTATAACAGCAACCCTGCGAGGTAAGTGGAGTCGAGATGTTTGAGAACAGCCACCTCCCTTAGAGGTGCTACCTTCTTTCCTGGCAGGCCTCTGGAGCATCTGCAGTATGGCGTTCCAGCACACCTGTTGCAAATGATGCAGCTGTTAAAGGCCTAGGAGCCCTGGCACTCTTTCATGTGGAAGAGTTCTGAAAATTGCAGCTGACTTGGCTTAACATGCAAGAGAAGAGTGGAGGCACCACTCAGTAATACATAATCTATTTCTTACATCCTGCTGCTTCTTGGAAGAGCTAAGTCTCTCCTACCTGGCTCTCCCTTCCTCCATTTTATCTCCATATCAACCTAGGAGGCCAGTTGGTCTGAGAGATGGCGATGGGCTGAGGGTCACCCAGCCCAAGCTCTCAGGAGAAGCAGATTTCAAACTAACGGCTTCCTGACTCAGAGCCCACTGTCCTGGCTGTGCTTTACCCCAAAGAGGCAAAATAAAGATCAAGAGTGTATCAGTTAGCCCAGTAATTCAGCAGGGGCCATGTGTCCTGCACAGAGGGGACGGTTCAGAGGGGGGATTCAGAACTTGGGTTGCAAATGGACATTTGAGACTTTAGGCAGGCCCATCTCCCTGCTTGCAATGGCTTCTAACAACTACTGCCCTGAGGATACAGGGTTGCCAGCTGGCCTGAGGGGGGGGGAAATATCCTGTCCATTTAGTAGAAGTTTAATGAGAGGTTATTTAACAGGTGATAACATTTACCTGCATACATAAACAGATCCAGCTGCCAAATTCCAAACAGCGAAGCTTCTGTTATAAAGAGGCAAAGCATTTTTCTCCAGGCCACTTGGCAACCCTATGAGGATGGATTTCTTCCACAAGCCCTTGAAAAGGTGGCACAGAGCAGACAGGAATCGCACAGAACATGATGGAGTTGGCTAATGGCCATCAGGCAGAAGGGTGTGCTGGAGAGATCCCTATAATCATACGATGATATCATAAATACACCACATCTGGATTACTGCTTTTATGTCCCATCTTTTAACTTGTGCTTTGAGGAGCATTCGCTTGTGATGTGATGGTAGCTGGTTAAAGGTTAAAAACTGCTGGACAGTCCAGGATGTCTTCTCAAGTTGTCTTGCTGATCCTTTACATTTGTCTATTGATAGTCTGCCTTTCTTGCTTCCACTAAATGAAGGGTGATGAAAAATAAAAACAGTGCAGTAAAAAGCATGTAAGGCTGCAATCCAAAGAACACTTTCCTGGGAGCAAGCCCCACTGAATGAAATGGGGCATGCCTCCAAGTAGAAATGTTTAGGATTGCAAAAAATGACTGGATTGCAAAATCCAAAAGCAAGGCAAATAAAACAACACATATTATTAGCAACATGCAAAGTGGGTAACAAAATCAGAAAACAATGCAGTGAAACCAATATGTGCAATAAATCCATGCAATAAACTATCCTATTTTCTTTATCGAAGCACCCTCCTGAACAATTCCATTTTACTACAGACATTTTAAGGAAAGCCTGGATGACATTAAATCTGTGCAGATTCCTTTTGCCCTTGCATCTGGAGAAGTTTCATCAGCTTGACTCCCCCATGACAAACTGCTGATTGGGGTACAAAAGCAAAGTCAAAGAGGTGACAGCTCTCTTTGCAACAACATATACAAACCAGCTTGCCACAAAGCAGAGAACAGGATTCATTGAACCAAATGGCAGAAGGGTTGCCATATCCCTTGACCTGCCAAGATCCCTGTGCCATCCACAAATTCATGGGAGACAAATTAAATAGGTAAAGCCTTCCATTGGAGCACCTCCACACAGAAATCTCTTTGACTTCTGCAACTCCCAGAGCTACTGAAAGCAGAAGAGCTAGGGTTGTCAACTGCCTGGAGAAGAAGAATGTCTTCTCTCTTTAAGACAAGCATAATGGGCTGTTATTTGCCTGGTGCATGAGGTTATTCAACTAGGCGCTATAAAAAGTTCTAGATGCCTATTTCTACACTTTAAGCCTTCATTACAGGAACAGGACATTTTTTCCCCAGGCCTGTTGGCAGCCCTAAGAAGAACCATGCCAGGGAGGGGGTGGGGAGTGTGACAATTAAAGTTTTACTTGGACTTGGTTTTTTTGCCCTAAAGTCATTAAATTTAATCAAATAAAAGTTGCTTTGGGCAAAAAATTACACTAACGCAATATTGAAAATAAAAACTGGGGGAAAGATCTAAACCACAAGAGGGAAAGCGTATATAACAATAGAACTTCATCACAAAATATAATTCAGTTTTAACCATCCATCTCCCAGTGTGATCACATTTACCACCACCAAGTAATTTCTGTCTCTTATTTCTTTTCCATGTTGGAAAATGCCTTACAAATATCCTGTCTGCCAACATCATTCATCTCACCTTCAAGATTATCTAGATATCTGTTTCTCAAGTGTTGCCCCCATCTGTGGATATCTAAATCTGGAGATCGGGGCCACACTGACACTAAAAAGATTTTCCTGCAAACTTGGGGGTACCCCCCCCCCCGGTTTGCAGAAAAACCTGAAAACTACAAAAAATAAAAAAATATATTGGGGGTTTAACTCCCCCCCCCATAGAGTTGTTTGCGCATGCACAGACAATGCATATACCTCCTTTAGGAGGTGGTGATGACCAATGTTCCCCCTAAGCTGTGGAGTCTTGTGAGCTAAAATTCTACTTTGTGAGCTGCTGGCTTTAAAAGCTGTGAGTGAGCAATTTGGCTACTGCATCAATTAGTTTGCTCTGGAGCCATCCTTCCTGGGCCAAGACAAAAAGGTGTGAGCCGGAGGCTAAAAACCTGTGAGCTAGCTCACGCTAACTCAGCTTAGAGGGAACACTGGTGATGACAGCAATGGTGGGGGGAGTTCCCAGTAGCTGTGGCAACCCCACCAATGATAGTGGTATGGGGGGGAGGGACTGCAGGGATCCCCGGCAGCAGAGGTCAGGAAGCACATCGCATCCAGCAACAGCTGTGGGCACTGGTGAGGGGAAGGGAGCAATGGCAGTCCTAGTGTTGGCAGTGGTGATGGGGGATAAAGGCTGCAGCGGAGCAAAGTTGAGAGTTGGGCTGGGTCCACACAGGTGTTGTTGGAGATGGGGGGGGGGAGCCTTGGCAGCAGGCTTGGTAGTGGAGGCTGGGAGGCATGCAGGCCCAGCAAGGGTTGCAGCAATGGGTGGTGGGGGGGAAGGGAGCCACGGCCGCCCCAGCATCGGCCGCCACAGTGGGGCCGGGGAGAAGCTGCTGCAGGCTGAAGTTGGGAGCTGTGCTAGGACTGCTGGAGTAGCTGCTGATGGGGTGGCAGGAGCCACAGTAACCCTG